CAAGTGGCTGGAGTAGATGAGAAGAGTGAGCAGGCATACAAAGCGTAATAATGTTGTGTTCCTTGCAGTACTCCTCAAACTCATCTGAGTGGTGGCTCTCATGACCATCAAGGACTAACAAGCGATAACCACCAACACTCTGGGCCTTTGTATGCTTCTCAAAGTGCTGAATCCAATCCATGCCTCTCTCGTTTGTAGTCCAGCCATTTTCAGTAACAGAAATCACCCAATCGCTTGAAAATCCACTATTCTCATACCAAGATGTAAGGTGGTTTTTGCCTGCAACAATGATAAATGGTGGTACTGCCCAACCTTGAGAACTAACGCCTTGGATTACTGTAACCCATTCCCGATTACCAGGCTGTACCTTCTTTGCTTTTGCCCGCCCGTCTGAGCTTGTTACAACCATAGCAGTTGAGATAACGCCCATCATAAACCCAGTCTCATCAAAGTTGTAGATATCTGCTTCATCGATACCATATTTCGCAATTGTGTTATGCACAAGCTCAAACCAGCCATTAATAACTTCTGGATCTTCGCACTTAGCCCTCTGGTAGTCGTATTTGCGCTGAAAGCGTGTCTGGAGCTCTACACGCCGCTTAACAAAGTTTGAAGCCCAACGCGACCCAACGCGTGACGCGTCGCGTGTTGCAAGTAGTCGACTTGCCATATCTTCAACAACAGACAGCCGAGGAGGAAACCCTTTGGCAGCTAGGTCGAGTATATACTGAACAAGGACGGACTCCTCTAGGTTAGTTAATTTCCGTGAGTTGGCTTGGATATCGCGTCGTGAAGGTACACCTTCTAGACGACGACCTAGCTTGCGGTGGTCCACAGAATAGATCCTAGCAGCAACTCGAAGGCGTAACTTTGGGTCGCTTTGCATAGCCTGGATAGCTAGCACTAATTGGCTTTCATCGTTTTTATGGGGCATGTTTTGTTGTTGAGGAATTTAACATTTAGTTGGGGGGTTTGGTCACCGCATCATTTTGGCGCTTTCGCTTGTTTGGCGCTTTCGCTATACATGTACGTTAATCATAATCATGATTTATAACATTGGATAACGTGGTTGTACAAAGAGTCGTGAATGTCACTGAGTCGTGAAACTTTTTTATACCCACCATTGTAAGGTATAATTAAACAACCACAACATGTATTAAAACTAAAACTATTCAGAATCTGATGAGCTAAGTACTTCTATGACCTCCTGACAAGTTCGTGCATTATGGCCAGCCCCCCCGCAAGTGCCACAATGTCGTACACCTGGTTGCCCCTCATTCCTACCAACCCCTCCAGAGCACTTCTCGCGATTTATTTGCTCCGTAACTGCCCTTTGGGACAAATCATCATGTGCATCCCCTACAGAAAGTGCACACCCTTGACGGACACGAGACTTTTTAGCCCTCCGGCGTTTGCTAAGAGCTTCGTTTGCTGCTCGAAGGGTGCGGACTTCAGCTGACAATAAAGTCATTTCATGTGCCAAAATCTCTGTCCCTTTAGCTAATGCAGTAACAGTAGCAAAAATGGGGGTTGGCGAGCTTCCTTGGTGACGTGCAATGCGATTTTTAACTAGAGTAGTCTGTGAGAGAGCATCTATTGGGTTGCGAGGCGTTTCAAAAACCCAAGGATCAGCATCTATAGAGGGGGGTCCTGTAGGTGTAGGAGTCCGCAACTTGACGTCTAGCTTTGAAATAATTACTTGCAGATCAAAGGGCACTAAACCAGGTCCGCGAAATCCAGCTTTGGCGTTTTGAGTTGTTATTGACTGGTTATAAGCTGCGTGGAAAGCTATAAAAAACTCAACCTTTGTAATATGGTTTATATGAGCCTTAATAAAGGTCTCAATTTGACGCCCATACATGCGTTTAAGAACACTAAAGCACCCAACATCAAGTGGCTGAGTTAGGTGAGACGAGTGAGGAGGTAGACAGAGAGTTATGATGTTGTTTGCTTTGCAATATTCCTGAAACGCAGCTGATTCGTGACTTTCATGCCCGTCTAAAACCAACATCCGATATGGTCCTTTTGCACGACTGCAAGTATGTTTATCGAAGTGATGAAGCCATTCTAGACCTGTCTCGTTGTTGGTCCATCCATTGCTTGTTGGTTTAATTACCCAATTGTGAGGAAGGCCGCCTTCAGTATACCAACTTGAAAGGTGACATTTCCCTTGAACTACTAAAAACGGAGGGATACTCCCGCCTTCAGCATTCACACAAACAATTGCTGTAGCCCATTCCCGATTGCCAAGCTGAACTGCCTTGCCTCTGCCACGTCGATCGGCGTGCGTAACAACTAAAGCTGAGCTAATAACGCCCATCATGAAGCCCGTCTCGTCAAAGTTGTAGAAATCGCAGTCTTGGATGCCGTACTTTGCTCTCATGTTCTGCACAAGTTGAAACCACGCTCCAATAAGCTCAGGATCTTCGCACAAGGCTCTTTGAAAGTCATAAACGCGATTAAAACACGTCTTTAACTCGGGGCGGCGTTGTATAAATCGATATGCCCACCGCGTCCCAACATGCTTTCCCCCACGCGATTCAAGGATATAATTTGCCATATCCTCCACACTAGCAGGCCGAGGCGCAAATCCTCTTGCATCCATATCCAATATATTTCGAATAATCACTTCCTCTTCTAGCTCAGTCAATTTAAGACTATTGGCTTTGGTTTCGCGTCGAGAAGGTCAGCCGGTCATTCTATCAGTAAGCGTAGAATAAGGCACTTTATATAGTATTGATGCAGACCTGCGATTAAGTGATTTACATGTTTGAAGAGCCTCAATAGCTAGAATGATTTGCGCTTCTTGGGTTTGGATTTCCATTGGTAGTTGTGGAGGAAACGCGTGTTGAAGTTCGTAGGTAGCTAAGTAGGTAAAAGTTCACGACTCGGTGACATTCACGACTCGGTGTACAACCACGTTATCATGGATATTATGTTATCCATGTTATCCAGGGATATCCCTTTGGCACAACGCCACTATATAAGTAGATAGTATTTCCTTAGATAGGAGCTTCATGCTCAACTCAATATAGTATTCTTTATAATACTGTAACGTGTTACTTGGAAAGCCTTTGTGTTTAATGCCCTGCCTCCTCTGTCAAGTCAACCTTACGCAAGAAACCTCTGTGTCTTCTATCGTTTACAAGTCAGCGTTACACTTTGAGCACCACTTCCACAAGGTACCGGCTTACACACAAAGCAACATGGCTGGAGACGATGCTGGATCAAACGTTGGATTGAAGGGGAAGGTTGCTACTGAACATACCATCGTAGCCCCATAGGCTTACCCTTCGGACAAGTTCAAGATTGCATTCCCAGACACCTTTCATGGGGATCGCAAGAAGCTCAAGAGTTTCCTCATCCAGACGGAGCTATGGATGGCATTTAACGTCAAACACATTAACAAAGAAGTGGAACAGGTCCTATGGGCTGTGGCACTCTTTCAAGGACCAACCTCAGAATGGATCTCTAACTACCATTGAACACCTGACGGAAAATGCAACACCTTAGCTAGTCAAGGAACGAAGGAAATTTTTGTATCCTGGAACGGATTCCTCAAAATGCTTAAGGCAAACTTCGGAGACATCGATGAACGACGAAATGCAGTCAGGGCACTCCAGGCTCTCAAGCAGAGAGGGTCAGCAGTTTCATACACCGCTGAGTTTCAACAGCATGCAACACTCATTAACTGGGGAGAAGAGGCTATCTGTGACCAATTCTACGCAGGTCTGAAAGACCATGTGAAGGACGAAATCTCAAGGTCTGACAAACCAGATGACCTTAGAGAAATGATCGAATTGGCTCAGAAGATCGACAATCGTCACTATGAACGGCAACACGAGAAGAAAGGGGGACCACCTAGTTAACACTGGACTCAGAAAAGAAGACAAACAAAGAGTCATTGGCCCCAACCTATGGAACTTGACGCTACTTTCAAGCCTAATGGCAAACACCACAATTCCAACAAGGAGCGACAGTTCCAAGAACGGCTCTGCTTCAACTGCAATAAGCGTGGACACATAGCACGGAACTGCAGACAGTCAAAAAAAGGGAATGGAGACGAAAGTATGGCAAACAGCTTAATGCTACTTGGCAAGGTCAGGGCGGGTGCAAGGCCCCACGATATTACAAAGCTTAAGTTCCTCCCTGCTTTTAAAGAAGCATTCTAAACTGCATTTATAAAGCAGAATATTAAGAGTGGATTTCAAGCAACAGGTAATTATAGTAAACTTTATAGTAAACACTACTAACTTAGCTATAGGGATAGTTCTATACAGAGTCCTTTTGCACCTTTCTCTGACTAAAAACACCAATCCTACCACCTATTAAAAAGCAAACTTAGACCTTAAAGACACTCTAGAATGCGATAGAGGTCGAGTTCTAAACGACACACCTTAAGAATCGGATTGTACAACACTAGGATAGCTCTCTAACCTTAATTAACGAAACTTTTGACCAGCTTGCTAAAGGAGCTTAAATAATGGCCTACTTGTTTACACTCCTTAAAGCTAAGGTTAAAGCATTACAGGAGGCAAATGCACTTAAAAAGCGAAGGGCAAACAAGCAAAAAAGGCATATTCACCTAGGTGGAAGCCTTTAGAGGTTAGGAAATCAATCGTACAGAGCACTCAAACTTAAAAGGAGGGTGGTGATACCGTATGAGCTAAGCGTGTAAAAGGGCAACCACGACGATGTGGCCTATGTAACAAGGTTGGACATAATGCTCGTACGTGCAAAGAGGTATTGGATTCGATTATTGTAGATAGCTAAGGCATATTTAAGTGTTGTTGTTATAATACGTACGAATTGTCGCGTCTTCGTATTATTCTGACCCACTCGATAGGGTGACCCGCTCGCTTTGGGAAATACATTAACCTTGGTTACCTTTGAGGAAGATTCTGGTTCTCAGCTTATACAAACTGCACTCGATGTTTCTACGGCCACCGTATTAGATGAGCACATCTCGCAACCTTTGGGGATAAATTTATGGAGGGGCTCACATCGTATCTCTTACTCACCCCAGCAATTGTCGTGTCACTGTCGCCAGAGATGTCACCGGCGCCCAGGTGTCTCCATGATTCATGACGGCCGCTGCAGACATGACTTCTCCAGTTCTATCGCCCGACGCGGAAGCCTCCTTCCTGACACCGTCGAAGGGCACCGACGATCGCTCCATCCACAGCGAGCAAGACACTGATAGCGAGGATGACTCTGTGCTGGGCGCTGCGCGGACCAGCGCTGACATCCGCGAGCACGATAGAATGGTCCTGCTCGAGGAGGATGAACGCGACCAGATGTTGACCGAGAACCGCCTGGGTCGCAGACGCTCTGGTCTAGCCCTTCCCAATCTCTTCAAGAAGATGATGCGAAAGACATATGGGAAGGCGTCCGCCGAACCAGGCCCAAGCTCCGAGAGCCTATCGAATAATGCCGGCAGCGAAGAAAAGGAGAGACGGCGGCAGAGGAGGGCGCGGAGGCAAGACAAGAAAGACAGGTTGACGGAGGCTGCAGCCCATGGCGAGGATAGGGGATTGATGTATGAGATGGAAGAAGGCTTTTTGAAAGAAGGGTCCGCCACTGGGGAAAGCAGCAATACCGAAGACCTGTCCGATGTCGACAAAAATGAACTGCACGGTGCGAGCGACAAATCAAAGCAGCGGCGCAAGTGGGGAGGATTGTGTTATATTAGTGTTCTCATACTGCTCGCGTTTGTTTTATTGTCCCTCGGCGCTTGGAAATTGTCGATGGGAAGGAGGAAGATACCCGTTCAGGCCATGTTTAATAATGGAACTGCGCTGTTTGCGCCCACGACAATTCTCATCAGCCTTGATGGGTTCCGCGCTGATTTTCTACAGAGAGGGATTACGCCGAGGCTGAACTCCTTTGTTGCCGAAGGCATATCCCCGGTATATATGCTACCAAGTTTTCCTTCGGTTACCTTTCCTAATCATTATACGCTTGCCACTGGCCTGTATCCTGAAAGTCATGGTATCGTCGGTAACACATTTTGGGACCCAGAATTGAAGAGGGAGTTCTATTATACGGATCCGTCTCGGAGCATGCAACCAGAGTGGTGGGGTGGAGAGCCAATTTGGGTGACGGCAGAGAGGCAAGGGATCCGAACGGCGATACACATGTGGCCAGGGAGTGAGGCTCATATTATGGGTTTAGAGCCGAGTTTCTTGGATACGTTCAAGAGTAAGGAGCCACTTCTCGACAAGGTTGACAGAGTACTCGAGCTTCTTGATAAACCGGGACAAGAAGATGAGAGTGCTCTCATTGCCGATATGCGCCCACAGTTGATCGCGGCATACGTCCCCAATGTCGACTCTGCCGGCCACAAATACGGCCCCAATAGCACCGAGATGAGAGCCACTATTAGCAGTGTGGATAATATGATCGATCAGCTGTTTATTGGTCTTGAAGAAAGGAACCTCACTGAAGTTGTCAACGTCGTGATTGTTTCTGATCATGGGATGGCAACGACATCCACGGACAGGCTGATCCAATTGGACGACCTCATCGACCTCAACCTCATCGAGCATACGGATGGGTGGCCATTATACGGCCTCAGGCCAAAGTCGGCGGATGATTTGATGCCTCTGTACGATACACTGACAGTCGCAGCAAAAGCACACGGAAACTTCGAGGTGTATCTGCGCAATACAAACATGCCAGAGCGGTATCATTTCTCGAAGAATGAACGCATTGCGCCACTCTGGATTGTACCAAACACGGGGTGGGCAATTGTAACCAAAGAAGACTTCAACGTTGCAACGGCCAAGGCGGAAGGTAAAGAATACCATCCGAAAGGACTGCACGGCTACGACCATGGGAACCCGTTGATGAGAGCGATATTCATCGCCAGGGGACCAGCTTTCCCGCATTCCCCAAACAGTAGAGTTGAGGTGTTTCGTAAGTGCTATCATCTGTATCTTTTCTCCCACTAACCCTAATAGAAAATACCGAGGTGTATAATATCGTTTGCGACACCCTCAACCTCATCCCACAGCCAAACAATGGAACGCTGCGGTTACCGTTGAAGCCAGTCGGTGCTCACAGCCCCGAAACAACGCCTGAGGAGCCTTTAGATCCTCTGCCATCAGACGGGCCTTCCACAAGTAAGCCAACAAGCACTGTGGATCCCAGCATCGATCGGCCTGTCATCAGTGATGTTCCAGGTGTCAACAGGCCTGTCATGAGCCAGGGTACACCAGAGACTCCTACAGCTTCAAATGTTCACGGTGCTCCCGAAACTACAGGCGAGGCCGGAGCTGGCGATGGTATCTGGGACATGCTTGATGGCGATTATATTGCAAGCAAGTTGGAAGAGTTCGGAAATTGGTTAGGCGGGCTCTTCGGGGGTAATGGAGGAGCTGAGCGAAAGGAAGGGGAAGAATGAGATTTGATGGCGGCCTAGGCACATTTATGTGACTTTCGGCATAGTGTATAGCGATCTATCACCAAGAGGGCGCGATATATATATCGCGCCCTCTTGGTGATAGATCCATAGATTTGTTCTGTTTGAAGGGTTGAAAGTACATTAATGATGGCCATATGGAATGGATATTAAAGATTTTTGGTGCTCCAACATCTCTCCAATCAATAAATGAGACGAATACGGCCATACCATCCTCACACTTCAATGAATACTTCAGACGGCCTATTTCTTGAACGTCCATTTTAGATGCTATGGTTATAGACAACAGACCCCTAGACCTTGTTCAGGTTCATCCCTCGCAAAGCACATAACGCCTCTCTGGTCCCAATGTGCGCCATTGCCCCAGCCATTGCTTCACTCGCCGCCTAGCCAAAGGCAGATATGTGAACTATAAATACACCCAAAGCCTCTGAAAACGCCCATCCCTTGCTCTATTCACATGGGATTGGAGACCTAAGACCTCTTCGTCCCCTTCTTTGCGGTCATCTTCCTGAAAGCCTCCATTCCACTTGCACCAATTGGTCTGCTCGCTGGGTCCATGGCTCTCTGCGGATCAAAAGTACTCTTAGGCGCAACTGTATAACTGGCACTGTGCGTCTCCAGCCTAGCCCTGTTACCCGGCCTTGGCGCGGCCAATACGCGTTCGCGATCCAGCTCCTTGCGGGACAGTCCATTGGATGGCTGGCTTGAAGACTGTGTGCCTGACGGGCGAAGGGCGAGCTGTGCGGCCCTGCGAAGACAGTTAGTACGCGCCACTCCCATTCAGACGGGGATACATACTGGAAGTCATATTCCTTGGTGGCAATCTTCCTCTTCTTATAATCGTCGCTGCGCTTCAAAATCGGCCTGCTCCATTCCCCGAGAAGTCTCTCTGCGATGCGCTTGATCCCAATCTCGGGCCTCTTGCTCTTGGTGTAGTACAGAACCACCTTTCCAATTCCACTGCTGAGAAGAGCCTCCTTTTCAATGGGGAGCTGTGCTAGAGCATTGAAAAGATCACGCTGGATGTTATATGCTGGAAGACTGCCGTCGTTCAGGGGTTCGAGGAAGAATTTGACGGAAAGGAGGAAGTTGGTGTCAGGATCAACGATGGAGTGGCGAACAGTGTTTCGGTTGAGAAGAGCAACGACTTCGGGGAGCATCTTCAGCTTATGGACGGCCGGCTGGCCTCGCTCACGAGCTGTGTTATCGGCCTGGCAGGCTTGTTCCATGCGGATCTTCAAAGCCGCAATCTCATCGTCGAAAGCTTCTTCCAGGTCCTAAACAGTCAGAATCGTATATTCAAAGGCCATCAATCTGACACGTACCACATCATCCTTCTTGCGCCTTCTCTTGTTCGGGTTCTTCAATGCCGCATCCATTGCGGCATCGAGAGCTGCAGCCCTCCGTTGCTCCGGAGTCATATTCTCCTGGTCCACGGCTTGCACTCGCTCCTCTTCCCTCTTCCTCTCCTTTGCGCGATCTCTCTCCTTGCGCTCTCCTTCGATCCTAACGGATTTGGGTTTCGCCGTCCGTCTGCCTTCCAGTATTTCTCCATCCACGCCACTGTCGTACTCCTCGGCACCAGTTTGGGTCCTTTCGAGCCTCTCCTTCCTCTTCTTCGACTTCTCTCTCTTCCCCTCCTTTGGCTTTTTAGGTGCGCCCTCTCCATCCTTCTCGGGGCGCTTGCGCTTTCCGGCCTTCAGGGTGCGCGCCACTTCCTCATCAATCTCGACAGGGCCAAGTGCGACGGTGGTAGGGTCAAAGTCAGCAAACTCTGCTTCATCGACCTCAGAGAGTTCGGAATCAAGGTCGTCGCGGTCGTCGCGATTCTCCTCCGCCTGTTCCACGTCGGAGTTTTCGTTCACATCGGCAACGGGTGTGTCTTGTGGCGAACCATGATCTTCTGGCGTTGCGGCGCGAGAGCTGCCACCAACGTCCGACATCGTGACTAGAGTATGATATGTGGTTTGGACTGAGATATATTCTCGTCAGATAGGTGAGTTGCAGCTCAGGCACGCTGTGGAGTTGGTAGTGGAGATGATGTGGTGTAAAGGTGGAAGAACGTGTGTTATTATGTGTACAGTTCTCGCGCCAACTGGGCGGCCACTGAATATGCACAAACGAATATATTAGATGTCTTGAAACGCGTCTGGTGAAGTGTCCGTAGTTGAGTTTGAATTGAAAGAATTATAGAGCCTCAAAGGTGATCTGGAAGGCTGAACTACTCCTAGTACGGTAACCAAGTCCGACTACGACGTCAAAAATAAATTTTGAAGGTCAACATCACTTCAAGTAACCACGACCACCACAACAACAATACAAAATCTACCAAAATGTTCGGAGGACGTAAGTGCAATCATCTGTCTGGTCCTGCCATAGATTCTGTAATTGACGCTGGACTGTAGCACCACCACCACCAAGCGCCGCCGAGCTCAGGGCTCAGGAGGATGAGGCTTCCAGCACAATCCGGAGAATCATCGTTGGAGCTGTTCTTTTGTACCTCTGTAAGTTCACTCTGTCAGATCTTCTTGATGAGCCTACTCTAACCTATCTCTTCACAGCACCCTTCGCCGTCGACGCTGTCAAGAAGCTCATCTAAACCATGTACATCGATGCAACGACAGAGGGAAGGGCCATCAGGGACGTGATTTGGCATTGTATTATTAGGCCGAGTACTTTTGGGGGATGGGATATCACAAAAGGGAAAGGATTACATATGGATTTGGGAACAATGGACGCCTAGAATATGCCGTTTTTCAGGCACATTTTGTACAATATTTACGGAATGATTACTGTCTAATACAAAACACCATTCCCCAGTGCCCGACGCCGCTTGGTCATATAAGGTGAATACATCCATAATAACTTAAAAGAAAACCAACCGCTCTTCATTACCGCCTATTCGTCTCGGAATCCGCAGGCGCTTGCTCTGTCTGCCAGTCCCCAAACTCTGTGTTGATCAACGCCAGTTCCTTCTTCAGGTGTGCCAGCTGTGTTGCGTAATCTTCAAGGATCTATGGGACGGTTAGCGGCGCAGCAAATAGATGTGAGATGGAGTTACAAACCTTCTCCGCTCTTCGCGCGGTCTGCTCATCCATGCTTGAGCCATTGCTGCCTGCCTGTCTCTCCATCTCTTCCTTCAGCAACCTCGCCCTCTCCCTAACGCTCACCATGCGTGCCCAGATTTCCTCCGCCCTTGCTGATAGCGCTGGATCGCACACTGACTTGTCAAGCGCCGTAAGCTTCACCTTCAAAGCCTCTTCAGCTGCACCCATAGCAAACCCCCTGTTTCTTAGGATCTGCACCTTCGTTGCCAGTGCCAGCGACCTCTGCTTCAACATCGTATGCTTTCGCTTAGCATTCAAGATCCTCACACTCGTTTCCGTGTCATGGCGGATCATCATCGCATCCAAACTCCCGTTGATTTGGTGCAGCACCCTGTTAAACGCAGCGAGGGTGGTGTTTTGTGTCTTGATACGCTCGCCCAACTGCTCAAATCCCGTGCACAACACAGGTATATATCCAGGTCCTGGCTTTTTTGACAGTGCTTCGTCCCATGCCTTGGGATCCTCGTTTGGGCCAGCTTTATAGAATGGCACTTGGTTATCCGCCACTTTGTTGTAGAAGTAGTGCTTGAATACGCAGGTCGGGCTGTTTGGTGACCATTTTTCGAGAACTACCTGCATTTGTTCGGGGACGGATTTGAGTTCTGACAAATGTGTTAGATGGACTACCGCCTCTGGGCTTTGAATTGTACATACGAGGGTTCTGTGTCTGTGGTTGCCATAGTTGGGAGCTTCCGAACTGGCTCTGCTGGTTGTTGGGCTGCTGCTGCTGCTGCTGTGTCTGGGCCCCAAAAAGTGATGGTTGTTGTTGTTGTGGCTGTTGAGTTTGTGCCGTCTGTCCAAATAACCCAGTGGGTTGCTGTTGTTGTTGTGTCTGAGTTTGCCCGAATAGAGATGGCTGCTGAGATTGCTGTCCCTGTGCACTCTGGCCAAATAGAAACTGCTGCTGCTGCGGCTGTTGCTGCTGCGATTGTGTATTTTGTCCAAAGAATCCGGTGCTTTGCTGAGTCGGCTGGGTCTGTGGTTTTTGGCCAAATATCGAGCTTCCAGGCTGGGCTTGGTTTTGTGTGTTCGCATTGAGTCCTCCAAACAAGCCCCCTCCCGTCTGGGCTGGCTGAGTCTGTGTATTTCCAAAGCTAAAAGCCATCGTGATAGATTAGGTCGATGTTGTCCGGGGATTGATAGGAGACGGTTTGAAGCAGGCAGGGCTGCGCGTGCCTTTGTTTACTTGTAGTGCTTCTGTACGGCTCACAGAAGATTTTTGCTTCGTCTCACCCGCAGGATCCAGCGCGTAATAGTAGAAATATCGACGCAACCTTGAGAAATCTTGCAAGCACAATACAAATAAAACAGGCGGCGCAAAAGTGGTCGTCTGGTGCTCTCCAAGGGCGCTTCCTAACATTTTGAAGCTAACTTGCAGTTCTCCCGATCCCAAAAATTGCTTGGCGCAAGCTCCGCCAATCACAAGCGATCAGTTCTTCGACTCCATGTCAACCTCGCCACGAGCACTTCCACACGAAATTGTCCACCATTGCGCCTTCACAATGTCGAACGTCGAGCAGCGGCCGTTCGTGCCAGCGAAGAAAGTCAACACTGCCTATCCTGTATGTCTCCATGGCCCCTCTTGCTTCGAGAATCCTGCTAACCCGGCAATTACAGCTCATCGACTCTGATCCGTACGTACCACAACAACCAACAGGCCTCTGCCAGATAACAGTGCGATACTAACTAGAACAGACATGTCAAGCGTGTATTGGCCTACACTCGCCCGTCGGATTATGCCACGGGAGCTGTGGTCGCCGCTGCCGGGCCCGGCCTGATGCTCACATGGGAGAAAATTGCCCCATCGTACGTCGGCAAAAGTGGTTTTGCGCCGGTTATGCGCCTGGCTGGGTTTGTTGGGCTTACCGCTGGTTTCCTCACGATGTACCAGCGCTCCATTCGTATGTTCCCGCCCGGTTGTGTCTAGGTCGCGCTCATCTGCTAACATTTGTCAATACAGTTCGCTTCTACGGCTTCAGCGAGAACTCCCGTGAGATCGAGAGGGACATGACGGAGATGGTTTCGAAAGTCAAGAAAGGCGAGTCCCTCTACGGCGAGAGCTCACTTACTCCATACATGCAGGGCGTTGCATCCAGGAACTCGCGGTACTCTGGCGTGTTTCTGCACGTCATGCCATGGTTCAACTTTGTGAACCACAACCAGCACGGTGTGGATACCGCGAAATACTATCAGCAAGCCGAGAGGGAATTGGAGGCCGAGCGTTTGGGAAAGGCAGGCGGGATCTGATGTGTCCATAATTATTTTGGGAAAATGGAGTGAAGTTGTACATATCCAATGAGATTTCTAGACACTGTTATATTACGTCCGCCATATGAGTGATTGATATGTCTTGATGTCACTACGATATCATCCATCTCTTTGAGTGTTACGGTGGGTCAGCAATTCCGTTGGTTCCAATGCTGCGGCACTTCTTGTTGTCAGTCGAGGCACCCATCCCAAATACACGAAACGTATGCATGGTGGGTATTGTTGTTAGCCGGCAAAGCTACTGATGGGAATGTGGCTCTCTGAGGATTCATACAGCCACTTTTGATGGAGCCAGCGGCAAGTTTAGCTCGCTTCATTGCTCAGGACTGTTCAGCATCTTCTACAAAACAATTGTAAAGTTACCTTCCTTGCCTAAATCTACGTAAATTCTTCGTGATATACATGTACTTCGTCCGTCCACCTCTTCAGTGCTGTGCCACAAAAGACCCTATTCCCAAAATTTAACTCGCACTATCAGCAGTTGGCTTAACCAACGGTTCTACTTCAAGATTCAAAACTCTCTCCTTCTTCGGTCTCGGCGCAGGTGCTATAATCAGTTAGGGCACATGTCTTCAGAAAAACCTGCCAAACAATTCTAGTGGAATCTCACCTTTCCCATTCTCCTGTACGTAAAACCGCCGCAGCATCATTATCGCCTCTTCCCTCAGCCAGCCTCCACTGACCTCGTACGCCGGGTCTACTGCTTCACAGTCATGAATACTCAACACACCGCCTGTCCCTCCAAAGCGGTCGTTCGCAGCGCCAAAATAGACCTTCCTGATCCCGAACTGCCGGAGCAAGGAGGCGCACATGACGCACGGTTCAACCGTGACATAAAGATCACATTCTAGGAGAACATCGGCAGTGTAGGCCGGCCCTGAGGGATCAAAGTGGGGTAGGTCGTTTGGGGAGGTTGACGCTGGGAGGGGCGTCGGTGAAAGGAGCGAGGCAATGGCGATGAATTCGGCGTGGCGTGTGCCGTTGAGGGTGCGGTTGGTGGCGTTCATGCCGCGGGCGACGACAGCCCCATTGTGCACAAAGACACAGCCGACAGGGGTCTCGTCTGTGTCGAGGGCAAGTTGCGCCTGTGTTTGGTGAGTATAGAGGCTTTAGTGGGGTCTAATTTGACAATATAAGAAGATGGGACATACCATTGCCAACGCTTCCCGCATAAAACCTTCATGGAGAGGCCGCTCCTTTGGAGGAAAGGTCTCAGGAGGGTTGGGAAGCGGGTTAGCAGGATGCTCACTGCCATCAATATTGGCAGGAGCGTCCATTTTTGTTTTCCCAGTCTCTTCACTAATTGTTTTCCTCTTCATGGAGAAAGTGTATTAATATTCTAGCGAGAATATTATTTCAAGTAGATTTAAAACCAACTACGTACCACCTCAACAGTCAGGGTTAGCAAAATTATTCAACGTCAGGGTTAGCACAAATAATCATAATAATCATGACTAACGTGGTTGTACACCGAGTCGTGAATGTCACCGAGTCGTGAAACTTTTTTATACCCACCACTGTAAGGTATAATTAAACAACCACAACATGTATTAAAACTAAAACTATTCAGAATCTGATGAGCTAAGTACTTCTATGACCTCCTGACAAGTTCGTGCATTATGGCCAGCCCCCCCGCAAGTGCCACAATGTCGTACACCTGGTTGCCCCTCATTCCTACCAACCCCTCCAGAGCGCTTCTCGCGATTTATTTGCTCCGTAACTGCCCTTTGGGACAAATCATCATGTGCATCCCCTACAGAAAGTGCACACCCTTGATGGACACGAGACTTTTTAGCCCTCCGGCGTTTGCTAAGAGCTTCGTTTGCTGCTCGAAGGGTGCGGACTTCAGCTGACAATAAAGTCATTTCATGTGCCAAAATCTCTGTCCCTTTAGCTAATGCAGTAACAGTAGCAAAAATGGGGGTTGGCGAGCTTCCTTGGTGCCGTGCAATGCGATTTTTAACTAGAGTAGTCTGTGAGAGAGCATCTATTGGGTTGTGAGGCGTTTCAAAAACCCAAGGATCAGCATCTATAGAGGGGGGTCCTGTAGGTGTAGGAGTCCGCAACTTGACGTCTAGCTTTGAAATAATTACTTGCAGATCAAAGGGCACTAAACCAGGTCCGCGAAATCCAGCTTTGGCGTTTTGAGTTGTTATTGACTGGTTATAAGCTGCGTGGAAAGCTATAAAAAACTCAACCTTTGTAATATGGTTTATATGAGCCTTAATAAAGGTCTCAATTTGACGCCCATACATGCGTTTAAGAACACTAAAGCACCCAACATTGTCATACTGACATTCGTTGCACTCAGTTTGCTATCAAACTCAAGAGCAAACTTAGAAATCTCCTCCTCAAACCTACAAGTCACCATACATATCTTGGCTTATCACACCAACAACAGAAGCAATACTACTCAACGATTGCTGCAAACTCTTCTACTACATCTGTTTATGCTACATACATCACGGCATATCATTTGGACACTCATTGAACAAGTTATTAAGAAAATCTCCTCCTTAAGGGGGTGGGCCAATACTACCACATGGCATATCTCTACCAACTAGAGGCCTAGGAACATGAACGATAGCTCTAGAAGCTTCTACAACCCTCTATGATTCATTACACGTCATCGCTCCTTAGTTACCCACAAGATTGGTTAAGTTATGACATAATTTATCTATAGGTACTCTGACCTTGGACCTCCTTTTCACTTCCTATAGGCTAGGAACCCAAGAGATGGTTCTATGGGATTCTCTTACGTTCACTACATGATTAGCAAGCTAGTTGTGGGTCGCACTTGATTTCTAATACATTTACCAAGCCTGGTTAGTCATGGAAAGTCATGGAAAATGAGAGAACTACACTCCTTTGGCATAAATAGGATTGCCCTTTCCTTAAGAAAGGGCAAGCAGACAATACAGTAAATCGACTATCACATACTTCCACGTCTTTTCCAAGCTTCCAAGCATTCATCTTGTTACTCCTTGTTTCTGAAAAGTCAGTGAGGTGTTAACCTCTGACTTACCCCTGAGTTCTCAGACTCAACATTTGTTGCAACTTGTCTAAACCACTTCACCACATCATACACCTGATTGCTGCGTTGTGGAATAGTCTAAGCTACAACCCTTTGGCTCTGTTTCCTAAGACAGTGTGTTGTCTTAGTAAATTCATCCCTTCCTTGGGTGGCTAGATTCTCATATCTGGTGCACCCACCATTACACCTTGCCTGCTTCAAGCTTCAACTATTTCTATAGCAGCACTTCGATACTACAATGGAGGACGACCAAGCTCCTACAACTACTGCTGAACAGCAGATGCAACAACTGTTTGCCTTTATACAAACTATAGCAAACAAACTTGAGAATTTGGAAAACACCTTTCAAGCCAACACTTCAGCAACACAATCTTCAACTCAGACACATCATACAGAGCTTCCCACAGCTCCTCTGGCTATTTCGAGTACCCCAGGTGCACTTCCTAAAGTGCAAACACCAGATTTATACCATGGAGACAGGAGGAAGTTGAAGGGATTCCTTATGCAACTGGACATCTACTTCACCCTCAGGCCTCATCAGTTCACCTCGGACATTCAGAAGATCTATTTCGCTGCCAGCTACCTCCGTGGATCTGCATTCAACTTCTTTGAGCCATATCTTAGAAGACTTAGTGGCAACAACCAAAATACCACTACACCTTTGATTACCTCTTATGACCAGTTTCAAGAGGAACTTACCAGGACCTTTGGAGACATCAACGAAACTGCTACAGCAGAAAGAGAGCTACAGAAGCTATGTCAAAAGACCTCTGCTGCTCAGTATACAACAGAATTTAGGAGAATCACTTCTCACTTGACTTGGAATGAAGAAGCCTTAGTCTTCACTTACTACCAAGGGCTCAAGAGCTCTATTAAGGATGAACTCAGCAAAGAAGAACGCCCTACAACACTTCAAACGCTTATAGAGAAAGCTGTCAGACTTGATGATAGGCTTTTTGAAAGAAGAAAGGAGAAGAACCAAGACTGGCATCCAACAAGAAATTTCAACAATTACACCTCTACACCAACTGCTAAGGACTCAGCACCTGAACCTATGGACTTAGACGCCTCTATAAAGAGATCTACAGCAAATCCAGCACCTCAGCCTACAAGAAGCCCTCAAAAACTGAAAAGGGGTAAACTTACCCCTCAAGAAAGAAAACACAGAATGGACAACAACCTTTGTTTATACTGTGGCAAAGGGGGACACAGAATTCAGGAGTGCTATTCAGCACGGGGGAGTGCTGATTCAAAACATATAGCAGCCTCAGACACAGTCACAACTGCTATTCCTGAAAAACTTGAAAAATCCCTAGCAGGCACAACTTCAACTGAGACTATAACTTCTCCCCTAGACAACAAAGATGTGTCGATGGTGCTTTCTCAGAGTCTCACACACCTGTTAATCCCTATTCAACTCCATTTCAAACAACAGGTGTTGTCTACAAGGGCTATGATAGACTCAGGGGCAACAGGCAACTTTATATCTCAAGACCTCATCTTGACACACCAGTTACCTACAATTCCCAAACGCACTCCAGAGTTGCTCCGAGTCATTGATGGAACTCCTATCAGTTCAGGTTCCATTACCTGCAACACCCCAGTACTCAAACTTGAGATTCCCCTAGGAAAATCAACATTTTCAGACACCATCTCTTTAGATGTTATACCAATGAAGTACCCAGTCATCCTAGGTCTTCCATGGCTTCAAAGGCATGATCCAACTATCAATTGGAAGCATTTATCGCTTGGGTTTAGCTCAAATCCTGAGCTCAATACTGAAAAAACCCTTCAAGCCTCAGTTACCCCTATTCAGGTCCAAGACTCAAACTTGTCCCAGATCAAGGATTTTGACCAAACTATGGACGATATATCATCTCTGATATGGGTTAAACCTTTCCAACCTGTCCTGGAGATAGCAGCTACTTCAGATTTGGAGAAATCATCTCAGGAGGTCATTTTGCCTTTAGCATACCAAGACTACCAACATCTTTTTGACAAGGCAAAGGCAT